ACACACACACACACGATACCAATCGTTTAATTTACTGACCAGTTTGCACCGATATATGTGTGTAAACTTATGTACATACTTATTCGCATACATACTGAGGCTGGATACTGACGCTGTTTATGCTTGTTGCTGCTATTTTCTCTTAAATATGAAGAACAACGACGATCGTAAAAGTAACTGAATGAAATGAATTGCGCGCGACAATTGCACTACCATCTGCGAATCCACTCTACTTTCTGTATCACTCGTTCCGAGACAAATTGGAATGGATCTTAGTCTTAGAGAAAATGAGTCGACTTTGTGAGAAAATACACGCGGCTATATGTATATTTCGCATATTTCGCCTTCACATTTAGCAACGTTGTGTTATTTCGGTACAGCTTCTTCGCTACCGAACACGCTCGCACCACGACGAATTCACACACATCGCGACCAACTTTACTAGACACCCGACGAGTCAATGATGATCAACTTGACTCGTCGTCTCTCGCCTCTGCAAAATGCGTTTCACCTTTCTTCCCATCGAAATACCAATTTCTAATCCCGTAATTGCAACCGAAACAACTAAACAACTAAAGAAACAAACAAAAGACCGAAAAAATATCGATCGAGTGTAACGATCGCGTGTGTACCTACATTGTGATATATATGTGTGTGTGTGTGTATTTTATATATATATATATATATATATATACACACACATACACGTACGCGTGCATCGACGATGCAAAATGTTGGCAATTTTCATCTTCTGTTCACGCGGTTTAATTGTTCCATCTTGTTACATCTTTGAAATCGAGTAAATGAAGTAGGCGCGACCATGTTACTATGCCAGAAACGAGAATAGCAACGAGAATAGCGGTCGAACAAAATACCGGAATACCAGACGTTGATTGAACACCGTTTATGGAACATGCATGGTACTTGCATCGTACTTGCACCAAGCCGAATAACGATTTTTATCGTTTCACCTACACCGTATATAGTATAGTGCTTTGATCGCGCGCAAGTGGCTTTTCTTTATCTTTGGGTTAACACGAATATAAACTTTACTAAATTTCATTTCACTTTCTCTTTAACTCGTACTCTTTAACGCTTCTCTCACGATTACGAGTAACTCGCATTCTTATTATTACGAATAATTCACGCCTAATTACGTCACGTGACGTACGCGCATGTACGTACGTAACGTGAGAATGTCGATCTATGTGATACGATATTTATTGCTTGAAAATTGTTCCCACTTTTGTTCTTTCTTTCTTTCTTAACTTAATATTTTGTAAAAGCTGTTACAAAAATATGTGTGTATCGTGTTGCCAATGGCACGTTAATCAAACGTTCGTTTAGATAAATTCGACGTAACGTTTCACGGCTACGTATATTCGACTGACTTTTCGTGTTTTGTTTCTTTTCCTTTGTTTCCGCAATTCGCACGATTAGTAACGACAGTTCGTTACTAATCATGATTTCCTAAAGACAATCTATGCGACGTACACGTTGCGACAGATAAGTTCAAACGAAAGAATTTCAAAGAAACTTCAGCGATTCGAACCTTTCTTACTGCCAGACGAATGATTATTACAATGCGCCTAGTTCGCAAGGTTCTCACAGGTCGCTGTATTCGCCGACCTTGCTTTGACTTTGCCGAGTCGAAGCATAACGACGACAGCAGGTCCAACTCGAAAACTGTCCAGAGTTTCCTCGGTAACTACGCCGCCAAACAAAGTGGATTAACATTGAAAAACCATAATAATAACAACGCTTCCCCCGTTATATGTAATATTGTGTCAAATTCAACGTGCTCGAAACCCAAAGGCATGGCACTGAACAAGCTCAGTATCGATAAAGTGGATCTTACGGATAAACGAGTTCTCATACGGTACATAACTTTCCTTTCGGCTTTTCGTTCGAGTAAAGCGTCTCGTTTCCCCTGAACGGAATGGAATAGCATTCACGCGAAATGCCTAACCTCGTCAAATGGTGCCTCGTCAAAAGTTGCATTATTCTGCGATCGTACAGTACTTGAATAAAGAGTTCTTCTTGTTCCCTTGCAGCGTGGATTTCAATGTACCTTTGAAGGAAGGTAAAATCACCAACAACCAGAGAATTGTTGCTGCTCTGGACACGGTCAAATATGCTCTTGAAAAGAAAGCAAAGTCTGTCGTTTTAATGTCACACTTGGGACGTCCTGATGGTAAACGAGAAACAAAGTACACTCTGAAGCCTGTTGCCGAAGAATTAAACTCTTTACTTGCAAAGGAGATTATATTTTTGAACGACTGTGTCGGACCAGAGGTGGAAACTGCGTGTGCCAATCCAGCACCAGGTTCTATCATCTTGCTCGAAAACTTGAGATTTCACATAGAAGAAGAGGGTAAAGGAGTAGGAGCAGATGGAGCCAAAGTAAGTAAATCGTATGCTGTTGTTGTCTGTGTGATAGATTCCATTGGGCAAGCACTACAAACTGCTTTTACTTTTTTACGTTTCTAGTTTAATTTTTATCCTTTCTTTTCTATTTCCCGTGTTCTAGGTAAAAGCAGACAAGGAAAAGGTAGACGAGTTTAGAAAATCATTGAGAAAGTTGGGAGACGTTTATATTAACGATGCCTTTGGTACAGCCCATCGAGCTCATAGTTCTATGCTTGGCGAAGGATATGAAACGAGAGCGAGTGGTTTTCTCTTGAAAAAAGAGTTAGAATATTTCGCCAAAGCATTGGATAATCCTGAAAGACCATTTTTGGCTATATTAGGCGGCGCTAAAGTTGCAGATAAAATACAATTGATTAACAATTTGCTAGACAAAGTTAATGAGATGATTATAGGTGGTGGAATGGCTTATACTTTCCTAAAGATATCCAAAAATATGAAGGTAATTACAGCGTGTGGTAATGCTCGATAACCTATCGTTTGAAATGTTTAATTTCAAGCTACGATATTCTTGTTTCAGATTGGTAATTCATTATTTGATGAAGAAGGCGCAAAAATCGTCAATGACATATTATCGAAAGCTGAGAAAAATAAAGTTCAAATACATTTGCCGATCGATTTCGTTACTGCAGACAAATTTGCAGAAAATGCAGCTGTTGGTGCAGCTGATGTAGAAAATGGTATACCTGATGGTTGGATGGGACTTGACGTTGGACCAAAATCGAGAGACTCTTTTAGTGGTACGTTCTTTTTCTATTTAGTGAATATTATCCATACGTATGGATAACGTATCTTGAAGTTTACGTTATGTATTAACAATGTTCTAAAAGACTGCTATCTGTATCTAACTTTATTCGACATTTCATTTGCACAGAACCTATCAAAAGAGCAAAAACAATCGTATGGAATGGCCCGGCAGGTGTCTTTGAATTTGAAAATTTCAGTAAAGGCACAAAAAGTTTAATGGACAACGTAGTAGAGGCAACATCACGCGGTGCTATCACCATAATTGGCGGCGGTGATACAGCCACGTGCGCTGCTAAATGGAAAACTGAAGATAAAGTAAGCCATGTGAGCACCGGTGGTGGTGCAAGCTTAGAACTTCTTGAAGGAAAAGTTTTACCAGGAGTTGCGGCCCTTTCTTCCGTGTAATTTCTAGTCCGTTTCATGTCATTTACATCTTTAGTCGAACAACACTTGAAAACACGTTAATTTTATCTAATTATCAAATTTTTAGCATTATAAAGTAAAATAGGATATTTATCGTTCCATATAGATTACCTTTATAATTTATACCGTATCGGTATAATTTACGTATGAAAAATATCCACGTTACTCTTGTTTTCGTATATGAAATATCCGTATATCGCATATTCGTGAATATAAAGAGCATAAAATGTATCTACAATCTGTATGAAAATAATAATATTCTAGGAAAATCGTTCTAATATTGTTATTTAAATTGTTCTTTTCGTGCGATGATTTTTCTGTCAAAAGCGGTAAACGATATTTAATGAAAATGTGGTAACTTCAAATAATCTGATTACGAGATTTATACAATGTGTAATTAATAAAAGAAAAAAGAATAAGCATGTACAAATAATACAATTGTCATGGACTTCATGTACAAATAATAAAAAAATAATAAAATGATACGCATCTTTGCAAATGGAATGGTGTCGTATTATTTTTAAACGCTTACAAAAAGTATCTAATGTTAGCGGCGATACATCATATATCTACGCACGCTATATCTACACGCACGACCATTACGAGCGTTATCAAGAGCATTGATATATTGTATTGATAAATGTATCTCCTATTGGTGAATCGTTAGCGTTGTGACCGACTAAGGTAACCAAGTTTGGATACCGAAGGCCCCAAGCTCAAATCCTGTCCCCTTTCTCTTAATCTTCGCAAAGTCGCTGGAAATGTTGATCCGAGAAGATATCGACATACGATCAAATCCCAAATAAGAACAAGGAAAGATGTGATTCTGCACCACCATCGCCACACCACCACCGGGGCTTTGTTGGTGGGTATCTCCAGAGGGGCAAAAATAATAATGTCTCTTAAGAGGAGAGGTGCGGAGAAACCGTAGAGAATAATTAAAGAGATAATTGCACATATGCGATAATCAAGACGGCATAAAAGTACTATCTACAAAATACACATGTATATATCCTAACTTTTCTATTACCCCTCAACTTTTTATTTTATTTTAAATAACAACTTCTCGTATTACTGGAAGGATAATTATTAAAATTCATTTACATTAGGCAACAGTTTTGCGGAGATTCCATGCTACGTAGTAACGTTGGAATCATAGTTTCGCCTTCGGCACCACTTTGAAAAAGTGTTGTCTGTTCACCTATCAATTCTTCGGGTAATTGACCACAAGCTTGTACTTCTTGCATGAGTGATATTATCGTTTCAAAACGTTTCTTTTTCACTTCTTCGGTATCGGAGTCTTTTTCCTTATCGAGTTCGATACACACCTAAAATGAATGATCGTTGAATGAAAATACGATGAAGATCATTTCCCTCCGTTTATTATTATTCCCACTGAAGATAATCATCACCTGCTGCATTAACTCTAGTTGTTTCGTAAACCTCTGAAGGTCACTCGATGATATTGTCGTCTTCTTCTCTTCTAACCATTCAGGATATTTATCCACTAATTCTTTCAGTGATGGATAGAAAATTTCTTTTGACAGTAATTGCTGTAGCATTCCTTGCACGAATGGTGGAATGGCACCGGGTCCATCTTCCAAGGATGTTAGTCCAAACATTTCAGATAAATCAGCCTCACTCTACAATGTGTTTTCACGAAAGAACGTATTTCAAGATACAAAAACTTAATCTTAAATAATAATCGAAAGATCCACGTGATTTCTGAAACAACTACCTGTAAATTTTCGGATGTTGCAGACAAGTCATTTAACGCCCGTGCAATGGCAGATTGAAAGTCTGTACTCACACTATCTTTATCAAAGATGTCTTCGTCATTTATCGCATTAACATCTGCCTGTGCCATTTTTTGAGAAGAAACTCCCAATTCGCTATCTGTTTCTAACGAGAGAAAATTTGTTAATAATATCTTTTTTGCGCTTCTCGTCTAACTATTACCATTTTGAATAAAATTTCGTAGACTTTCCACAAATTGTTCCGCTGCTTGTTTAACAAAATCTGTAGTCCAAGCATCTTCTGAAATATTAGCTGTATTCTCGTCTGTCGTGGATTCAAAAGCATCTCCTTTGCACACATCCTCTTTATCTGACTTTTGTTCTTTGTTGAAGTCTTTCAAAGCACCTGAGTCAGTTATCATACAATGACCATTTTCTAATTTTAACGTGAAACAAATATTTGATACGTATTTTGGATAGTTTTTTTTTTCTTTTTTTCTTTTACGTTTAATGTAAAAGTCTTGCAAGTTATATAATAATAAAAACACAGCATTTTGTCATTGATTTATCGTCATTGATGTCATCATAAAACAACACTTCTCTCGTTTGCCTTCTTCTCTTAACGAAGTTAACAAAGTTTACACTTCTCTACGTAAAATTGTAAGAAAATTCATTCAACGAAAATGTTGAATAAACGAAAAAATGTAAAGCTAAACATTTACGTAATTTGGGGTTAGAATTTTTAAATTATGTTTACTTTTATCATAAGTCCTTCGTAATATTGTAATTACTCACTGTCTAATAAATCGTTTAATTCTTGATCTTCTGTTTGTTTCGTTGAATTTTCGTCAGCCATGTCTATCGTTTTGCAAAACTTCAAATCACTATATCATATATGATAGAACATGCAACGAAACGTATATAGCTATGTCATCGTTTCCATACCTTGCGTGAATGTGCGCTGACATAAATGAATTCTGTAATCTAAAGTAATCAAAGGTCGATTGTAATCTTAAAACAACGATCTATCCTTTTTTATTCTTCCTTCTCTAATTACTTACAATTCTGTTTCTTGCTTTTTTCTTTATTTACAGTATGGTATTCTTTATATATAGCAATTTTTATGATCTACTGTCAAAAGTCTTAAAAGTAGAAGTTTAAGCATATAGAAACTATCAACATTATTAACTTTATTAACGTATTGCGTTAGTTTGTTTTTCTCAACAGTACCTTGATACCTTATAACCAACTTTTAACGTTCAATAATTCTTTTATTCTTCGTACGTTATAAAAAGATCCTGTAACGTACAATAATCCTCTGCCTTTGGACAATCTTCTGGTTCCTTTGTACGTAATAATTTTTTCCCGAGGGCAACATATTTACATTCGAATCGAAAGAAATTTCATTCTCTTACGTTCTCGTAATAAAAAAAAAAATAATGTACGTAACGTACTATAAACAAAATACATTTATTTTATTTATGAATTTCATAATATTTTGTAATATACAAATTCAATACACATAAAGGAAATCCGGCGTTATTACAAAACTACGATTATCTTTCTTGATTTGTATCTTGATCAGAGAAAACTTTCTTCAATAGCCGATAGCATACATCTATCTGATCGAAATTTTCTTCTTGTTTTAAATCCCTGATGTAACGCTCCAGCGTGGATTGCAAGCCAAGTTCTGATCGTCGACATTCTTTTAAAGCAGGAATGAAATCATCATTGGTCAGACCATCAAGAATATTGAGTAGTTGATCCCTGAAAGATCACGAGTAATGTAGGTTTGATCAAGTTACACCAGAAATGATGAATATAAAACAATACCTTATCTCTGGAAGCAAATCACCGATGGCCAACAAACCTGTTGCTTGCTCGATCAAGCCCATATTTACTAAGCTTAATTTCAAATTATTTACATTCTCCTTGTTACACAGAGATGACAAGAGAAACGCAGATTTGATTTGTAGTTTTTTTATTGGGCTCTGTATAGCTCTTAACAGGACAGAATATCCATCGTTTAAATCCATGTATGTCAAAGATATTGGATGCTCTCGAACTATGCCTGTGTCGTATTTGTTATAAATGAACGTGAGTATGGATATGTGAGTATGGATAGAACAAATAAATGTGCCTGCTATTTGAGTAAAAGTTTCATACTTACAAGAAACAGCATATAAAGCTTTGATTCTAACAGATTCTGCTGGATCTGTGTCTATCATATTCAATAACGTAGGAAACAAGCCAGTTTCTAAAAACTTTTCTTGGCAAAAGGGATTATTTTGAGCTAGTTCTGCGATTAAATCTGCTGCTCTCCATCTAATGCTGCTGTGAGGAGAGTTCAAGCATGGACCAAATATAGAAAAACCTCCTATCTTATAAAAGTCATTAGCAATGTCTATATTATCTACAAAATCTGCAATTCTTTCCAATGCCGATTCATGTTCTGATGTATCGTCATCTGGTCGAAGATCAATTACGTTTGACAAAAGTTTGATAGTTCTCTGTAATTCTTCGATTACGTTACACGACAAAGAGCTAAGTGTCTGCTTCAAAAATTCTCGTCTCTGTAAACATCATTCGAGTCTGATCAATTTTCTTGAAGGAATTATGTAGACAATGTTAGAATACACTTATGTTACCAACTTCTTCATCCAAAGATTGAAACTGAGTATTACTGGCTACGTTCTGAGAATTGGTCGCTTCCATGGCAAATCTAAGTAATCCTTGTAAATTTGTTGGTTGCCTAGGTTGATTTGGTAACGGTTCAAATACTTGCGGATGGGCATTATTCACATTCGATGGTCCTTCAATTGATAGTGGCCTCGTGCTGCTGTTCACGCGCGGCTGTTCATCTGTATTTTCTCGACTGTCTGAACGTTGAGAACTGAAATAATATCCAGAAACGGATAATCCATAATTACTTTCAGATATAAATTACAAATAAATACGACAGTTTGTAAGAGATCGGTCATTTACTTGTCCATTTTAGTCGTGTGCGCAGCACCCATTAATCAACTAAATCTGTCTGACACACGTAAACGTTCCTTCGATAAAACAAACGCAAAAGAGCATTATAAAATTCAATTTACAGTCAGTGCTAACTGCCTTTTAGATGCAAACGCTAGGAATAAGGAAAACTTTTGAGATACGTGACTTCCACATCGGAAACAATTTTGTGACTAGACGGGAATTGGTTAAAGGCGTAAATAACTTTGACGTACGCGTGAGCGCAAGCGCGTAAAAATTAAAAAAAAAAAAAAATATAAATCCTAGAATTGTCAGTTTGGATCAATTTATTATGCATCGAGTGATAGACATTATTTATCAAATATTGATGATTATAATTCTAGATTATCAAAAAAAGTTATACTTCTTCGTTGAATGTACGTATATGGCACGAATGTACGAATGTATATATAGATGTGTCCATCTATCAAAATATGATCACACAACATGTACGTACACGTGTATGTTATTATTTACAATCAAGTTCAATTTATCAATCGGAAAAGAAAAATTTTATACGCTTTATTACACTTTGTTCTCTTTTTACACAATATTTTAAAAATTTTATACACTTTATTACATTTTTTTCTCGTTTTATACAATATTTTAGAAATATATAAATAACATCGACATGTACAAACTACTTCATTCTGTCCATCTGTGGGAACAATGCTGATTAGTACAGACATAATACAATCTCATTTCTTCTTCTGCTCGTCTAGTTTGAGCTTGAAAGAATACAGCTTCTCTGTGGTTACACTTTGGACATGGATGTTCTTCGGTTCTCGGTAAAGTAGGATCTGATATGACATCCGCGACAATGTGTGTCAATTCGCTGAAATCATATAAAAGGAAAGTATGCTTTTGCCAGCTTTTTTATTGAGATTTCGAACAGAACGTCGGTCTGCAAGCATTAAGTATATACGTGAGTGTAAAAATTTCACTTACTCAATTTCGTGCATAATCTTATTTACGTAAATGCAATTGCTGTCAGCAAGTTGTTTGAAATCACAATTTCTGCACTGGGAAAAATTGGTTGAATTGAAAATGTCACGATAGTCGGATCGAAAGCAAATCACGTACATTTCAATACTTACTGCGTACATTAATACTTTATTCTCTTTATCTTCTTTCGGATACAGCATGTTGTTACATTCCTGGCAAAATCTAATACCGACGAAACCTGGACCATCGTCGTGTGTATCGTAACCGGCTATTTTAGACATGTTTTGCGCGTCTCCCTCCGTTTCCTTCGTGCGACAAGAGGAACAAAGAGAACAATTAAACGAAAAAAAAAACGTTTACCTAATGTTGCATGGTAGAAAAAACAGTTACTTTTTAACCATAGTATACATAGAGTTGAGATCGTACAATCAAAGTATCGGTAAAATAACGGTTAATTTATGCGTGTGGTGAGATTTTATATTTACATCGCGTCGTAACGAACAATGTTCGTAACATAAAGTACACATAACCGTATCGAAAATAACTTTGTTACTAAGAAAAAAGAAAAGGTGTATTCTGAAGTATTCTTCTAAACCAATTAAAATTCGCGGATGAAATTAACTAAATGGCAACTTACTTTTGATTGGCTACGACGCAATTGGTGATATGAGATATATTTGAATCAATTATATAGGCGACAATCATACATATATATCGTCGGAATGTAAAAATTATACGTTCAAAGAAGAAAAAAACAGACGAAGAATTTACAAAACATGAACACGTGTATTTGGATTTTCTCGACTCTCGGAATTTCGAAGAATATTTCACAGCCGATCGTCGTTTGAATGTATTTTGAATATTTTGTCGTTGTGCGTTGGGAGTTTGAATCGATGAAGCTGTTGATAACCTAATTTTGTTAAAGTTTATGGAGCGTTTTCATGTGATGGCGCGAACGTGCATAGAGTATACAGTTCGGTTTGGAGAAGCAGTGTCTTGTTTCGTAAACTGCTTCGACAGATATGTGACAGTTAGGCTTGTAAAAATTTTAGCGCCAAGGAGAAACGTAAAGGTTAAGAAAGAAAGGAACTTTTCGAGAACGATTATTTCCGATTAGGTTAAAAAGTAACGAACACGTGGTGTCGTTATCGCAATCATCGGAACAGGATGAGACTTTGAATAAAAATGAAAAGTATTCGGTGATCGAACATGGGGAAGCGTGGAATATAAATATTGGACAGAGATTGTACGGAATTATGAAATTATTGAAATAAATAATTCAGAGAGCGAGCGAACGAACGGACGAGTGAGAGGCAATATATAGCAAAGGATATATACATAGGTATGTATGCAGTTAAACAATGCATAGGTATATCTAGAGTGTAGAAGAGTTTTAGACAGAGACTCGGGGAGTTTAACGTTCGTAAGAGTTTTCAGGAAAGGCAAGAGATGCGCTAGTGTTCCACTAAGCTACCCCCAGCCTTACTACCCCCACCCTTTCGTTCCAGCTCCCCTAGCTAGTGCAAATCTCGGCGGATGAATGTTTTCTTAAGGGATTCTTCCCGAAAGCGACGCGAAAATCTGAGAGAAGTCGACGGAGCTAAAAATTCGTGAGTGAAATCATTTATTGGAAAATTCGTATTGCATTTCGTTGTTTAGACGCGGAAGGTCGATCGGATTTGGTATCGGAAATTAAAAAGAAAGACGAAACTTGTGTTCAAGGCGTTCCTGGGGGGTGATGGCACTCACGCCGACAGCGTCTCCCACAAAGATTTCACCATTTTTCTATTGACAAAAAAATCTTGTACTTGATCGCGTACATTGGATATTTTTTGGTTAACCTGTCGGCTAGTGTGCTTTGAGCACGTGATTACGATAAACGCCGCGTAACTAAAGTTTGTATTTAAACATTTTTCCAAAGGAATTCGTTTATGTGCTTCCGACGACAGATTTGTTTTGTTACACGTTCGTTCTCGGCTAGTGCCATGGATTTTCCTTGAAAGTTTCTCGCTGTTAATCTCCTCGTTCGTAATATCGTACGAAGCTACAGTAGAATTACTAATTTCGATAACCGACCGTACCGTGTATCTTTTACATTTTTCAATCATATTATGTATTTATATATATATATAATTATTTATAGTAGTAGTCGAACGCGTACAAGTGATACTAAAGTTTCTTTGGCAATACAGCCATATTGTACATTGTTTTAAACAAATTTTCCTGAGTAAGTCTATCCTCTGTGTCTATTTTTGGCTTTTTTCTTATTCTATTCATAATTATTCATAATTATTCAGCAAGCATATAAATATTTCTTAGTTTTATGGATGGAATTTATTGCCAATAGTTATTGTTTGATCACCATATCAGAATATAATATTGTGGTGAAAGAAATGTGATGATTAATTTGCCTCTTAAACTCGCATATGTGTATAATGGTCCTTGCTGCTGTTATGAATGCTAGATTTAAAGTTCAACAAATTTGCATCGATGGTTTTCTTTGAAACATACACGTTGATACATGGATGATCGACAAAGGAATTATGATGACAGATGATATTGTTTGGTCATATACGTACATAGGAAAAGACAAAAATTTAGTAATAAAATCACAATGAGCCTGATACGACTGATGATGGGACAGAGAGTGAGATATTTGAGACACAAAGTGAGACCAAGGCATTATTCATCGAGTCATTGTTTAGGAGATAGACACAATTATCTAATAATGATGAAAAATAGACTCTGTGTTTTGTTGAATGTTGGATTGTAGCTTGTAGCTTGTAGCTTGTTTCCCCTAGTAATATAATACTAATAGAATGTAATTGTAATAAATTGTAATTGTAATAAACGTAAGCATAAAATATGTAATGTATAAAAGAAACATTTGTTGATATTGACAGGGAAGATCTAAAAGGAAGTTCTAAGCAGTGAAACAATGGAAGGTGGAGGGAATTTGCATAATCCAGGCAGTTATCCTGGCGGTGACCGTCAACAATTTTGTGTTTCATGGAACTCTCATCAATCGAACATGCACAGTGCATTTCCTAAACTTTTAAGTTCTGAACAATTTGTCGATGTCACTTTAGCCTGCGACGGTGGCTCAATAAAATGTCACAAAGTGGTATTATCCGCTTGTAGCGATTACTTGGAACGTTTGCTGTTAGAAATACCATGCACACATCCTATTATATTTCTGAGAGATATGAGAATGTGGGAACTTCAAGCTTTAGTGGAATTCATGTATCGTGGTGAAGTATACGTGGAGCAACAACAGCTTGGCAAATTGATGCAAGCCGCTGAAGTTTTGCAGGTAAAGGTCTATAAAAATATCGTTCAAGTTATTGGCAAGTTATTGGAGATAATGTTTTGGAATGAATATGGATGTACACGTACATTCTGTTAATTGTTGTGGTAATGTTTATGATGGCCTAGGTTCGTGGTTTATCAAATCAAGGGAACGATAATTCATCAAGCGAAAGTAGTTCGCAACAATGTGACTCTAACATTGCTGTTGCACCATCTACGACCGCGCAGCAGGATGGCTCTGATTACAAAGGCGAGGATACTCCATCAGACGACGGAACTTCGAGCGCAAATTTTTTGGAGACGACATCGATTGCTGCGTCTAGCACAGCAAGCGCTCCGTCGCACAGCACTACGCCAGTCCCACAGAACTCGAATTCGTCAAATTTTATGAATATGGAGCACAGCGAGGCGTTACAACATTTGGAAAAAGCACTCAGCGCTTGTGAAGCGACATTAACTGAGACTCAGGGCATGGTTAAAATGGAGCCAGACGAGCAGTTTACTCAACAGCACGACGTTAAACCGTATTCTATTAGCATGGTACCGAGCGGTAATTGTAACCCGAGCAGTCCGTTTCCTGCGATTGAAGGTAAGAAACAGGAAAAGTGCAATGATCGAAACAGACGATGAAGGAAACTAGACGATCAATAAAGACAGATTGGGGGGAAAGAAGCGTCGAGAAATATTCGAATAACATTGACAATCTCACAAATGCGATGAACTAAGAAGTTCAGTAAGAAAATTATGCACGTTTGTTATTACGCGTGTTAAACGTAAATATCGGCCGATGATTGTTGCGCGTTGAATGTAAAGTGGTAGCGATCGGTGCTATGCGATTATATATATATATATATATATATATATAT